CGATCTCCCCAAAACCCCAAAACCCCGGATTTACTAATTTGAAGATAAATTAACAAAATATTAAATTAATTTTAAATTATGCAAGGAAACTAATAAATTACATCTCTGAGAAATTAACCGCAATACAATCAGCACTAATTAACTTCAAGCAGTATCGGCAAAATCAACTCCTCATCTCAGATGAAGAACTAATAAGAATCTAGTTCAGTATCAAACCTTAAAAGCATGTTTGAATCTAAAATAGTATTTTTTTGTCCGTTAAATTTACTTAGAAATAACAAAATGAAGAATAATTAAAAGTGGTAAAAAGCAATGCTAGATAGTCAGATGTCTTTAGAAATAAGCTTAGGAATGATTTGGATAACTTTGATCCAACTAATGGAACTTAAGGTAGTATGTAGAGTATATAGAAAAATGCAGGTCCTCGGTAGTCAGTAAACATCCAAAGCGATAATATAAAAAAATTGGCTTCAGTGTTTGAAAAAGTAAATTAACTTACCATTTCTAACTTTAATCCTAATTATTCATTTTTAGAAAAATCTTGCTGCTGAAGATAATGATGGTAATATAGACTAATAACTGCAAGATTTCATTAAGAGTAAATTGAATTAGAAGCGCAAATAGACCACTGCTGCGACTAGCAGCAATATGCACAAAATGAAACTTGATATGTCTAAGTTAGAGAATAAATCAGTTTAGCCTTAATAGCAGTAAACTTAGTCATAGGCTTTTCCATAAAAGCAATCCTTTGGAGTCCCATCTAATTCTAATGACTATTCCAAGTCTCCTTACGAAGAAGATCAAGAATCTTAATTTGACCAAGTCTTTAATAAATTCAATGGTAACAATTCTGGTAGAGGATCTTTAGGTAACTCAACTACTTAGGCACCCATACGTCATGGATCAACAAACCAAGCACCTAGAAGTAGTGTTTACATGACTACTGAGAGAGGTAATTAATTCATCGAGGAATATGTTCCACTGAATGAGAATATCTTCAAGAAAAAAGATGAGACCATTAAGCAAAGACAAAGCTCAGGTAGTCCAGCTAAAAAAATACCAGAAAACTACTAGAAAAAAGATAATGTGAGTCAGTATAGATAAGCAGTACTAAGTTAAACTCAATCTCAATATAACTCATTAACAACCTCTCAAAATTAACCTCAGATTTAGATATACGATTCACCTGAAAGTAGATAAAATTATAACAATGAATATGACTAAATCTAAATTAGAGATTCGAAATCTAAAAATGAGGTAATTAAAGAAAAATCTGCAGAAAACAAATTCCTATTAAAGGAAAATCAAGATTCAAACATTCATAAGTCACCTGCTTAAAATACTCAACAATAGCACTTGATAGATCTCTCTACCTCAAATGAGAAAGTGCTGATCAAAGACCTGCTTTCTAAGCCTTAGTTACAAATGACCTAGTCCAAATCCAAAGATTCCTTAAATCCTCTAGTAGATTCAATAATATTGCCCAACCCTACAACCAAACATAAGAAAAAGCTCTCAACATAATACAAATCCAACATTTTTAATACAAGACACTCAAAGAATTCATCAATGCATCTACATAGAAATTAAAACACTCAGAGCACTCACAATAATGAGGGAGATAATTCATTTCAGGATTATCAAGACGAGTACTCCGGCAAAAATAGCAATTTGAATTAGACTAAGCAGCATACATAGGAAGATATGATATCTCCTTTCAATATAAGACAAGAGACAATCGAATTAGAGAAAAAGGAACTAGCAGGATTTGAACTGAATCTTGATATGTCAAAGCTGACTTAAAATACCTTGAAGAATATCTAATTTACTGATAAAATTTACCCTGATAACATTATGGTAGATGATCATCCTTATGGAGTAATAGATGATGAGCCAATTATCCAGGATAAACTTCCTATCCCACAAGAAAAAATTTCTAAGTCATCTTTAAACAACTCAATGGCCTCAAGCACAAGATCATCTTACTTAAGGAGGAAGGTGTCTAAGGAATAAGTTAGTATGGATTCAATGAGGAAAAGCGACGTTATCGAGAACTATCAGTCAAAGGAAAAGCTGCCACAAAATCCAATTGTGTATCAGTTTGTGATGAAAAAGCATGCTTCAGTCTTTAGATTGAATAAATTTGACAGTAAGTACGACAGACAGTGATTTACATTCACATAACAAATGAAATCAAATACTAGATTAAGCAAATAATGCGAGATAAATAGTTAAAACTATTTTAAGGTTAATTAGTAATTAAAATCTAATTGCAATTCCAACATTTAATTAATCACTTTTTTATATTAAGTTGAGTCAACATATTGTCAATACTGGCTTTTAGTCTGTCCATTTCTATCTTCTTTTCCAGCACGAATTTCTTTAGTTCTTCTGGGTCAAAGTTCTTTGCATCCTTCAGAAAAGAAGCCACTATTTGATCTCTTTAGAGTGAGTAATCGAATCTGGTCTTAATTTGATCCATAGCCTCTTTGCCCTGAGCTACCTGGGTTTAAAGCTGGTTGACGAAATTCTAGATAATGAAGTCAGTATTATTCAAATTTCTTAAATTTCCTAATTTACTGTTAACTCTGTCAATTCTTTTTTATATGTTTTCCTAAAATTATAAAAATTATGAAAACTTACATTATTCTTCTAGATCTGCTGGAGACCATCATTTGCTTTTGACTTTTTCGTTTCTAATTCTGCTTGCATATCTGCAGCCTTTCTAGCTTAAACAATATAGTAGTGCTTTAATTTGTTCAAATGATCCAATCTGTAATAAGAAGTTAATTTAAAAACTTTTATATATTACTTTTCATTTAAGTCATCTTCGATGCCGTCAAACTGGGGTATATAAGTCTTCACCAGATATTCATTGATATTACTCAACACTCTTTCCACATCTTGCTAAGTAGCAAGATTTTAATTTGATAGCTTAATTTCAGGGAATTTAGCTTGGATTTGTATTGGAATAGGTTATATCTTATGCTTTTTCTTATCAGTCAATATCACCTCCTCCACCTGCTTTAACTTAGACTGCAAACCTTGAAAAATCTCAGCCTCATCAATGCAATAATCCGAATCGAATGCAAAGATTAAATCCTTCTTAGTTTTCTCATTAATTCCGTAGAATACTTGAAGATTTCCAAGGCATTGGTAATGACCAGGGTTTGTACTGATGGAATCAATCATCTTGGATTGCATTATACCTCTTTAGAGATCTTTAGGCTGAATCTATTCCTCCTATACAAATCTATCATTCAGTCTTTCAAGCATATTCAAGTCAAGTCTGTATAGAGAAGCATTAGCTTGAAGAAAGCTTTCTAAGTTATTTATTGGATTTTGCTTGAGTTTTGATATTTTTAATGCCTAGTAATTACTAATTTATAAATCACCAATTTTAACTAAGCTTAAGCCATTTTTTTAGTTTTTCAAACTGGGGTCCTTTGATTGATTCTCATACATTTAAATTATTGGCTGGAAGAAAGATATTAAAACTTCAACTGATCTATCGCTTATTCTGGTCAATGCAAAAGGGAGTTCATTTGTAACTTTTAGTCCAATGTACTTTACCTGATCAATAGTTTGTTCCTCATTCACTATTTCAAGTGGACCTTAAAGGACTGGAAAGCATGATTAAACATGTTCCTTGGTTAAGGAAATTAATCTATCGTTCTGATTGTTGATAAAGGAAGAGTTGTATCCCTCACTCATTGCAGCCATAAACTACTCCAAATCTGTTGTAGGCAGACCAGCTGTGTTTAAATCTTCAGTCTTCTGATTGGTGAATGCAACAAGGTCTGATAAAGCATCTGCTGTTGTTATTATCTCCTAAGGCATGATTGGACTCATTTAATAAATTTTGCCAACTTGAGTCATAAAAGTTATTGTAAATGGCTAGAAACCAAGTGATGTATGACTCAAAGCTTGTGCAAACTGTATGATCTATGGCTTATTTGCCTTGTAGCCAAATTTATATCTTGACGAAACTAGGAACTATTCTATATCTATAATTTGCTCGATTATTTGCTCAGATAGCATATTCAAGATGAAAAGCTAATTTTGGTCAGTCAAGAGCAACAAATAATTTGGATTCAATATGCTAAACTCTAGCTACATAATTTTATAGTCTTTTTCAATAGTTAAAAATGGATCGTACACTTTCATTTCCACAAAATCCTCCCCGCCAACTGGTATATTAGAAACTATATTTAATTTTAAATCTTAGTCTTTACTTACTTAAAAATTTTTCTGAATTGTGAATGGCAAATGAAGTATCATTTCTAGAGATAACTAATTTGTAGTAAATCCCTCCAACTTCTGCTTTAAGTTATTCTTCAGGAGGAAGCAATTGTTTATCCAGTCCTGTAATTGGGAACTTTGCTTGGTACATTCTGAAGCTTTAGAATTATACATTCAATATCACAAAGAATACAAGATGCTTTTTAAGGTTTGCTATATCTACATTGATCAGCACCATAAATTCATTAATGCTTTTAAGACATTGAATGTAGTCAGAGTTTGGATTTTCAAAGTCAAGATTAATAGTAAATTCAGATTTATAGCGACTCAATCTTTCTTTTAGCGAATTATTAATACTGGTCTCAAGCATGCTTGAAATCGATTTCAAATCCTTTTTTTTGAGTTGCACAATTCTCTCCATTAGTTATAATTCTAATTACAGTATATTAATATATTGCTTAATAATCATCGATTCAAAATTTGCGGGGTTTTGGGGTTTTGGGGTTTTGGGG